CAATTTCCATTAAAGACAGTTAATTTACATAGAGGTCATTGAAGTTAGCACATCTGTATCAACTTAGACCTTTAAAGTGTCCATAAGTACTTGTCTTTCGGCAGCAAAAATATTTCTCTTGAACTAATTTCTTCACCTAATGTGCAGTTTTGTGTGTGTCTTGATTATCCTCATTTTTCGGAGTTGGTGTATTTTCGTTCTCACTGATTCAATTCATAAATAAAAGTAAACGTTCAAAGTGTAAAAGCTTGAAATTTTCGCGCACCGGAGACATGGCAACGGCCCCCGTTTTGCTTTCGTTCGCTACCTCGGCGTTACAGCTACTTAGTGACAAGCAAATAACGAATAATTTTCTTCCCCAACAATAGACCCCCTCCGCGGAGAGCGGCGCAGCGGCACATACAAGCATCTCTTCGAAATTTCCACTTCACTGGCGCTCCCGGATTTATTGACTCGTTCGTCTACCCCCACGCCCCCGCCCCCTCCCCTCAGAGCCTAATCAGCGATTTCAGCGCGGTATAGTTTTCCTAACGTATTCTGATTTATTTTCCCTGGTTTTTCCTGCCGACCCATAACTTCTGAGCCCTTTTTTCGCGTTTTTCATGAGCCTCCCCTGCGGAGGGGTTCATGCGAACGGGGGGAGGGGGAGGGTGAGGGGGTGCTTCACTTTCGCTCGTAATCATATTTCACGTTTTGACCAAGGCTGAGCCGCCCTTGATTTGTTGCCCCCTAAATGGCCCCCGCTCTCCCGCCCGGAGTTTTCCGGCTTGCCCGCCGTGAACCTAACTCTTTAATATTTCCGCAGCACGCGGTCGGGGAACGTATCCCGCGTTCCTTCGGGCTGGGATAGACGTCTGAATCATTGCCGGATTTTACTCCGAAACTTGCAATTTTTTATCGGACAGATTTTGGAAAGTGCCTTTATTATTGACAGTACTACACGTATGGACAAAGCAGTGTTTTTGTCGGTTCCATTGCTATGAAAGGTCAATTTTTCCTCTTCATTTCTTACGTTCAAATGAGTTGACCCCCCCCCCCTTCTCCACCAATTTTATTTTCATTTGTCGAATTTCACTATTCTCAAATCTGTTTCTTCGGATTTCAAGTCGCGCCTTGTTCGTCCCTCAGGGAATTCCATGTCATCAGGAAAATCATTTGAGTTAGTCCGTTGGATATTTGTATTTTGATTTTTTAAATCGAGAGAGGGTCAATTGGACGTATTTCTACCAAACAGACCTATGTGGCGATGAGAAATGTGGGGTGTGCTCTAGAAATCTGCATAAGAAGCAATGTAAAAGTGGGCGTGGTTCCTTTTGAAGAATTGGAAAAGCGGGATATTGCATTCTATCAAACAGACCTATGTGCAGCTAAGTGCGGAACTCGTGAGCCGCGGGCATGGCAAGAAAGCGTTGTGGACAGGGCTCATGAGTTACAGCGCCCCGACGACCATCTCCCCCTCGCCAGAGTGCGCACTCTCATTGCCGCTGACGTCACTGGCGCACAATTATTCCCATTCACTCTTACGGCCAGAGACTAACGAGCACACCCCATATTTCTCACTTCCACATAGGTCTCTTTGGTAGAACTACGTCCAATTCATTCACGTCATAAATGAGGAAATTTCATTTAAAATATCAGGAAAATCCAAATGAAATGTGAGCACACATCCTGGTCCCTGTTTAAATTCGTCGATGTCTCGCTCATTGATGGGGTTTTTCGCAACTTCTCCCATCTTTTCTCTCCTACTAAACTTTATCCTATAAAATTTGAAAGGTCTAAAATGGACCACTAGACAAGGTACGAATTTAAGCGATGTGATACATGTTTCTTAACCAGAATTTCATGTAGAACACGATTCACACAACGAAAATTACTGAAACCAACTCCTAACGAAGATATTAACGTTCTATTTCACATTGGTTACGAGGAATTTGAACCGCCCGCTCACAAGAAACTCAAAGCTCTACGTTAGTCAAATCGCCCACTACAACGGTTTCAGCAAGCTTCTCAATCGAGCAATGTTCATTTCCCACCATGTATTGTTCAAACTATCAGCAATGTGCTATAGCTGAGCCAAAGCGTCAAGATTGAGGTTGCCAGATTTTTATATCGCAGAGACTGTCATGTATAACGTTTAGCGCACGATGTGAATTACGTAGAGCATTGAGTTTTCATGAGCGGGCGGTTTGAATTCACGCATCAAGAATCATTAAATATCTTCGTAAGGAGTTGATTTCGGTAATTTTCGTTGTGCGCATCGTGTTCTACGTTAAATTTTGGTGAAGAAACGTGTATCAGAATGCTGAAATTCGTACCTTGTCTAGTGGTCCATTGACGCACATATTAACGATTGAAGATTTTGATTCATTTAACTCATTCTCCCTTTGCATTTTTCCACACTTTAATGCAAGAAGCGATGGTCCTGAATTATCGAAACTCTACAAGTGAAGGAGATTCACTGATATTTTTCTTGAACTGTGGATAGTAAATTTTCCCTTGAAAACCAAGGAAAGGAATGTTTCCACATCCATTCATGGCTATTTAAATTACAATATCGTTGTTATTATTTCACTTTTTACGGATTTCAAGCATCGCGAGTCTTTGTTAGAAAACCTCGACTTTACGTCGAGAAGAATATCTCGAATTCGTGCAGCTATCCCCGCTTTTTCGATTGTTGTCTGATAAAATTGGCAACGGTGTTAAGCAAACAAGCCGCGCCGAAAAGAGGGATCAGGGAAAAGTTGCCTCGGAAAAGCTTGGCCGGGCGGGGCCGGAGGGGAGAATAGTTTTCGACAGCGAAAGAGTGAAAGTAGGAACGACGTGACAGGGAAATCAGTATATCATCGTTAATGTGATTTATGAATTAGTCGGCGATGCAGTCGAAACTACGAATTAATCGCGTGAAATATTGTCGTGTGCTCGCACACTTTTCCCAGCGTTGAATAAATTACGCGTTTGTTTACAGTCGAAAATTCGAGCGTTTCGTCTGTTCGCCCCCCGAAATCGTGTAGAAATCCGGGTTTTATATACTGACGTCCGGGTTTAATTTTGAAAGCCTTACTTTTCTTTGTTCGCACTCTTCATTTGAATCCAATTTCTTACTGAAAACGTTGAATTTCTTCGTCAAATTTGGTAACTGAATTCTGTAGTCTCATGACAACAGAAGTGCGATCTCGAAGTTCTAAAAAAATGACAAGTAGCTGAAATTATGAAGCGAATTGATGCGATACATAGCACGTCGCTCTGACACAAAAATGGCAACCGTCGAATCACCTTAAATTCATATACCTTATCTAGTACTGCCGGTTAAGGAAGAACGCCGTATAAACATTCGAGAGTTACCAAATTTTCTTCGATAAAATGTGTACTTTTGAGGTATATGATAAAGACTTTTCCTTAAAATTTTCAGGAACTTTAGGTGAAATTGCGAGCAAAGTTATCTGAAAAAGTGGAAGGAAAATGTTCATAAGTTTACTAGGAACTTTTTGTTTTATCAAAGGAAATTTGGCAACGCCTGAAGGTTCATACGGCGTTTTTCCATAGCACGGCAGAGTAGCTCATTGCCCTGAGGTTCTACCTGTCGCCGGGGGGCTGAAAGAGGGTCTCTAATTGCCTCTGATCGAACCTCTCGCCAAAATCCGAACCCATTCTTCTCGCTCCAAGCGCAAGCCACGGATATCGTGAAATCGGTGCCCGGAATCCGAGCTGGGGGAGTTCAACTCGGCGGAAAATCGCGTTTCGGCGATGGAATCGCCTCACGAGGCGTAAAATGATCGATTATTGATATTTCTCCATTTGAAGCTATGGCGAAGAATTGATTATGAAGATGTTCGTTGCGAACACCCCATCTATCGATCCTTTTCCTTAGGTTTGAATGGCGGATCAAGCGATGTATCGCAAAGCAGGCCGAATCATCGCAACGGCGGGAACTTAGAATTGGTCCGCTCGAATGGACCCAGCGTCTGTTGCTCTGAGCAGCCACTCCAACTCGCAGCGGCCATTGATTATGGCACAATGCTTTTAAATTGTTCAATCGGCTCATTTGTTGACGTAGCTCAAGTGTTATTCTAAATCATCGCTGCTGCCTGCCGGCCTAGCCCCGGTCAATTGCCTCGATTCCCGTGTTCCGAGACCCCGGCGAAGCTTTTGCGTTCCCCACGCACAAGGGGTTGAAAAATCTGAACCGTAACAGATTTGAGAGTTTGAACGTTCACCACGCCAGTAGTGTATACGCTCTTTCCCGTCGTTTTGCATCGGGTATGTTACTAATGTATCCTTTGGTAAAGGCCCGCGCTGCTCAGAGACAAGAGACCCTCCACTGGCCTCCTAGCGACAGGTGGAAGATTTTACTTTCTGGGATTCAACAGTTCCTCATGGACAATTATTAGGGAGCAACAGTCATCACCCTATTTTCGGCTGTTGACCTGCCTACATGGTTGATGATGAGCTTCGGGTGACGTCATGAGCCAAACAAGTTTCACAAACTTCGGCCATTTTCGACTTGTTTGCAAAACGAAACTGCCAACACGTTGTTAAATATCAACCACGTAGGTAAGTCAACAGTAGAATGCTGAAGTCCCGAAAGTAAAAGCTTCCACAATGGCCAAGATACTAGTGGAGGGTCTCTTGTCTCTGGCACTGCTCCATGGGAATCGGCGCCATTTTTTGTGGCAGGAAGCAATACCTTTTTTCTCCTATTTTGTCCACTTTATGTAATGCTAGTAGGCTTGTCTTTGAGAAATTAATATCTTTACGTTTTAAAACTCTGCAACGTACTTTTATTTAATGACTCTTTCAAGGATCGTTCAAATTTTTGAACTCAGTTCTTATTAATTTTGGACCCTGCATTTTTTTACCGGCTGTATACTCGAACTTATTTCCAATAGTTGTAAATTCTATCTCTGGTAAGTTACAATTTCGACCACCGCGCGGTGGGGCTAGGGGATTTGCATTTGTGTGTGTCCGGGAGTGTTTTAATTTGTGCCTTTGTTTTGTTACAGCACAATGCTCGCTACCGTTGGGAATGGAGTCCGGCACCATTCGGGACGATGACATCACCGCCAGCTCGTCCTTCGACAGCAACAACGTCGGCCCCCACCACGGAAGGTCAGTTCACAAATTCAATTCATAACTTTAATTTACGAATTCCCAATTTCAACTGGCGTGAATAGCCACATTTTGGGAATTTGTTCAATCTTTGGGGATTTTGGGACTTTGTTCAGTCTTTGGGGATTTTGGGATAAACTTTTTGTGAGCTTTCATTGACTTCTCAAATTCGGATTCTACTAATTTTTTTGCGTTCATTGGTGTGTAAAAACCGTATTTTGCTTTTTCGTCCGGGTTAAAGCCCTGTTCTTTCCCGACTACAAAATTATTTGCCTTCTCAAATTCGGATTCCGCTCATTTTTCTGCGTCCATTGATGTGTCAAAACCTCATATTGCAATTTCTTCCGGGTCAAACCCTATTCCTCCCCGACCACAAAATTGCCCTCTCATCCGTAGTTTATTAGGTCAGTCAGCCGAAGAACACCAATACCTCTACATCATACCCTCAAACTACGAGAGTCCCTTCGGAAAAAAAACACATTGGATCTAGAGTCCAGACTCTTAAAAACATCGACAAGAAAAAGTACTCTTGATCCAATCAGAATCTAGCTTAAATCAAGAACCAAGCTTCTTAATTTAAGCGGATTTCGTTTTGATTCAAGCAAAAATCCGATTGAATCAAGAGTCCTTTCTCTTGTCAATGTTTTCAAGACTCTGGACTCTAGATCCAATGTTTTTTTTCTTCTTTTTTTTCCAGTGCTCCGTAAAAATCTTATAATCGTTCTTTTTGCAAAGGAGGGGCATCGATAATGACCGTAATTGGGCCATATTCATGACATTATTCCGCATCTCACCTGTACGATACTCGTACATTTACAATGTGTCAACCGCGTTTAGATAAAAGCTCCATAAAGGAACGTAAAGCCATGTCGCAGAAGTCTCTAGTGGCTCATTGGCGAGGAAGGCTACAATACCTCGTTTACTCGCGAAAAGTCCATTGATTAAGATTGAGGGAGGTCGTAAAGACAGCCTCCTTAGACGTAATGAACCCAGTCCCGCATAACGAGATCCTAGATCCCGCTATCAAAGCACACTAAACCCAATCGAATCGCATGCACGTTCCCGCCCGCGGAGCTCTCAATCCGAACCCACTTATTCCGCGATAAACCGAAACAGCGTATCTCAAGCGAAAATCAACCTGCAGATACGTTCTTTTTCGAAATGGAATCGGAACGAGAGCTTTCTCGAGGCGCACGATACCTGGCTCAAATTAAGTTGAGTAAGTGCCGATTGTCGTGTTGCGAACCCAGCCAGACTGCGGGGGCGTACGATGTGGGTAGAAACAGCGTAACTGGGCGATGGATTGAGTGTGTAGATGCGTGGTTTTCTGTTTTACAACTCAATTCAGACAGTGGCGTGACGTGAATGATCGATTATCGATAATTCCCCATTTGAAACTATGGTAAAGAATCGATTATCAAGGTGTTCGTTGCGAACGCCCTGTTAATCGATCCTTTTCCATGGGTTTAGATGGTCGATAAATCGATATATCGCAAGCCACGCCACTGATTCAGACGGTTTTTTGTCGATGCGGAGTCGCGTGACGATCCTCAATCATACTTAATAACGCGCGGCGAAAACGGGGGAAAAACGGGGGACGAAGCCAATAAGACGCCGGCGTCTATTGATTTCTTACGGGATTAAAAAACACTCCTCATCACCCGCAGACGTGACGGCGATACGCGACGATACCGCGATACGTGATACCGAAAACTTATCAAAACCCCGTTTCTATTTGCTCGCCCCCTCCCGCCCTCACCCCCGCGACGCATACACCTTGGGGTTCATGGCACCCTCGGCCGCCGTCCGTAAGTGCCAGGTCGCCGTTGAACGGTTTGGTGTTTATGGGGTCGTCGATTGAAAGGGGAGATTGATTTGTTCTCTGATTTTGGTTCTTTTATTGTTTCTGGGTGTGTACATTTGCTTGGTCGAATGTGCATGTGCTCAGTGGTTAGTTTCGAACATTCGCAGACATCATGCGGTTGTTAAAGACATAAGAAAGATAAAAAACATTAGGATTTTTCTGTTTTTCCATTTTTTAGTTGTTTCTTTTGCATTATGTCTCCGATTTCAAACACTTAAATTACTTAGTGATACATCTCATTAAAATAGTAAGTTTTCCGAATTTAAAATTTTCTGAACAGAATATTACCTGGCTCCTTTCAAGCACACTGGAAAAAAAACCACATTGGATCTAGAGTCCAGACTCTTGAAAACATTGACAAGAAACTGGACTCTTGATCCAATCAGATTTTTGCTTAAATCAAAAGGAAATCCGCTCAAATTAAGAGGCTTGGTTCTTGATTTAAGCAAAAATCCGATTGAATCAAGAGTATTTTTTCTTGTCGATGTTTTTAAGAGTCTGGACTCTAGATCCAGTGTGTTTTTTTTCCAGTGAGGCTCAGTGGTTAGTTTCGAATATGTGCAGGTATCATGCGGTTAATAAAGACCTAAGAAAGATAAAATATTAGGATTTTTCTGTTTTTCCAGTTTTTAGTTGTTTCTTTTACTCTATGTCTCCGATTTCAAACACTGAAATTACGCAGTGATACATCTCATTAAAGTTTCAAGTTTCCCGAATTTTAAAATGTTCTGAACAGAATATTACCTGGCTCCTTTCACCCATGTTTAGAGTGAAAATGCCCTTTGTATGTTTTGTACAAGAAAACAGAAAGATGTCAATTCGTATTCATCTCGGTGGAACTTGCTGACATCAAGGGTTGACGTAAATGAGACAATCCGTTCGATTAAATAATCTGATTTAATGAATGATAATTACTTTAATTTGATTAAAATGTTTTAATGATTATTCATTTGACTGAAAAAATACATTTATGAGAAAATAGCACTTAAAATGAAGTGCCTTTCAAAAAGTAAGCATCCTTTATAATAGTCCAGCTCGCCCCTTCGTCCCTCCTCCCTCCCTCCTCCGTTCAGCCTTAAAATTCCAGGGTTTTTTTTATTATTCTTTATTTTTGTAGCATGATTTGACAACCCCAAGCCGAAGGGCTGAGCAACCCATTCCCTCCCGATAGATTACAAGTGACGGGAGATCATAGCTAGCTTTTTTAATATGGTGGCACGATACACGTTTAGACGTCTGCACCGATGCAGCTCCAGGTATAGGAGCCCCGATCACATACAGAAAAATATCGAGAGAGTTTTTTCCTATTTTCTGCAGAGGTATTTTGCTCCACGTAGTATGCGTGTATTATGTTTCGCTTCCTCGCTCAGATCCGTCGTTGGTTTCATCATGTTTCGTGCACCTCGGAAGTTCCTCGAGTGAAAACTGAATTCGAAAAGGGGAACGGTCCGGGAAAGGAGTAGATTCATTTTCTCCGGGAGGAAACCTCGAAAGTGCTCTTTTAAATTCCAAGCTCTCCTATCGATACAGCAACAACGTATTCTTTCTCAAGTTTTTCCAGTTTATGAAGACATGTTCTGTTCTAAACTTCGACATGGATTTCTCATGTCCAAATCGACTTGAAAGTTTTCAACGTATAACATATAAATTTTACGAATTCGGTTTTTCTCCCGGTAAATATTATAAAATAGAAGATGAAGAAAAAGCAATTCAAACATGAACAGCGTTATTAAAATTTGTCCTTTATTGGAAAAAGTCTCTTGGATCCAGAGTCCAGATTTGTAAAACAATAAAACATTTGACAAGAAAGCATATTCTTGATTCAATCGGCTTTTTGTTTGAGTCCAAAGGAACTTCGCGTAATTAAGAGGCTTGGCTCTTAATTGAATAAAAAGTCTGATCGAATCAAGAATATTCTTTCCTGTCAAATTTTTTAAGAGTCTGGACTTTGGACCCTAGAGACTGTTTTTCTAGTGTAAAAAATTAGGTTGTATTTTCCAGTATTAACATTGAGTCTTTTTATGGAGGAATTGCACTCTAAACCGTCTTTTCTCAGTACAAACTTGATGCAATTCGGTACGTTTCTGTTAAACTCTGTCTAGGTAGTAAATGGAGGATTTGCACACTAAAATTTTATTGCTTCATCTGAAAGTGCCTAATGAGCTGAGTTCGCAGTATTTTTCATAATTTTTTCGTGACATGGGGAATTGGAGAAAAATGAATTTAAAAGTGAGAAAATGTGCCGCCTAATGACGTCATCTGGCGGCATTCCCCATTTAAACACACGTATATTAGCAGAATCGGTTATTTTGTCATTTCTCTTCTAATAACTGCTCAATTTATAAATCAAGGGTATCCTCTTGTTCAGTTCACTCAGTAAATTCCCCTTAAACACATAATTCATCAAATTTCAGACCCTCACAAATTCTTTATTGCTAATTTTCCCCATCGCTTAAATTATTTTGGAATTTGTTGTAATACACCAAGCGGCGTGCGATTTGTTAAACATAGCCTCCCCGCTCCATCCCATAAAAGGTAGAGGAGAAAAAGTAAACGCCGGTTGTTTCCAATTAAAACAGTGGTCCGGGCCGCGGATAAAACCATTCAGGGCCGGTGACAGGAGCCCATAATTCGGGTAGTTAGCCGCGCCGGGCGGAGGGACCGGGGACGCAGGAGACGCCCACCGGACACGACGGAGCCGCCAGGTTCATACGTATGTATGAGTGGCTTTGTCATGATGAACCCCGTCCGGCACCGTGATATATGGTCGGCCCTCAAGTCTCCCAACTTTGGACTTTCGACTCGGGGCAACTTTTTATCGGACTTTTAAAGTTGGCTCCCGGTTTTATCCGCGCGAGATCTCCCTGATCCTTGACCATCCGCGGCGTGAATAATCGATTATCGATTCATCCCCATTTGAAGCTTTGGGAAAGAATCGATTATTAGGGTACATCCTGTTTATCGATCATTTTCTGTAGGTTTAAATTACGGATCAATCGATAAATCGCAAAGCACGTCACGTCACTGATCGATTATCGATATTTCCCCCATTTGAAGTTGTGGTAAAGAATCGATTATTAAGGAATACCCTGTTTATCGATCTTTTTCCATAGGTTTAAATGGCAGATCAATCGAT